AGTAGTATTCATATGAATGCAAGGCACACACCACATGATCAAGCGTACCTAATAGTATTCCCTCTATCTTACAATAAACCAATTAAATATGAGATGCGATACATCATAATATTATGAATTTAAACATTTTATATTTGGTTAATTTGTTTTGGAAAGAAGTAATAAATTTCTCCAACACTGACCAACCGTATAATAATATATATAAATAACTTAAATCATTTGGATTATTGTTCATTTATAAATATGCATTGTCCCTAGGCTTGCCTCCCCGGGGCCGAAGAAGTCTGGCCAAAAAAAAAAAGGCCCACGATAGTTATTGGACGAGCTTGGGCAGGGAGAGAGATATATATACAAAACCAAGCCCGAAAAATTTTAACTATTTTTTTAGCGAAGAAATGCGTAAGGCGTACACATGCAAATTAAATGCTCACAGATGGGTCGTTTTGGTTTGCTGGGCCGTCTCCGTTTTCTTCTAAACCGAAATGAGAACCAGCATGGAGGCACTCTTTGGTTGGATGCACGGCTAATTAAAGTACAGAGACTTCTCGTCATCAAGTAATAATAGCAGCTCTTAAGATCCAAAATTAAGGCTCTTTCTGCTACAACCAGAGATTGCGAGAAACTAGCATTTGGACATTTAAGTGCAAGAATTAGATTATGATGTTTAATTTGTTTCACAGTACGTATGTGCTCTCTGTCGCAATGTACTCCGATCCATTTTACAGTAGCTAGCTAGTTCACGTGCATGTACTATACTTGTTCAGTGATCTCTTTTGACACATCCATGCGCCGCACTGATCTGGTCATCTCAAGACCTGGATTATATATAATGCAGCAAGTCAGAAGCAAATTAAAGGTAAGCATGAACAAAGATCAATTCAATGATCGATGTACACTGACTATAAATATAGGTCATCGCAACCTGCAGACAAGCTGTGGGATAAGCAGCTCTTTTCGATCGAGTTAGCCAGCGCCTAGCTATTAGCTATAGTTATTAGTTAGCTAGCAAATTAAGCTCCAATGGACAGGCAGAAGAACCGTGCTGAGCGGCCACAGTCGTCGGAAGACAAGAAGGAGGATGATGAGAAGAAAAAGAAGATCAAGAGGTCTACCCTGTAGGCCGAAAACCGTCAGAATAATATGAATTACCGTCAGAAAATACTTTTCTGTGGGTGCACCGTCAGAGTTTGCCGACAGAAAAAAGACCACGGAGAAAATAAATTTTTCTGTCGTTTTCCTGACAGAAATATCATTTCTGTCGGGAATTCCTGTCGGTTGGCTCACAAAAAAAATCAACTGGCGTCAGGTTTGTGAAAGCTTATTTTTGACGTGGACCCATCAGGAAAAACCATCATCCACCGTCAGAAAAAATGAGTTCCACGCCCAAAAAAAAACACATGGTGATTTGGATAAATATATGAACATCAATCACAATCCATACATCAAAATTCAAGTCTGCAAAGCTTACATAAATAGTCCATCTAAGTTCAGTACATACAAATTCATTCAAACCGGATTTAGTAATATACAAAGGGTCCATAGAAAAGATAAATGTGTTCAGTTACAATTCATCAAACATATGTAAAAGAACATTGTCTTCCAGCAGCAGTCCGTGTTCCGTGGTGCTTCAACCTTGGGCAAAGGAAGCTAAAAGGTTTTAAAAAAGAGGTTCAATTTCATAATTTTCTTCATTACAAAATAAATAACAATGATTCTGAATACCCCAGTTATAGAGAAACAAATAGATTAGTACAGGAAAAACTGAAGTGAGCAACATAAATTTGTCAACTACAAAGCATGAAAATGAAATATGGCAACTGAAATGAAAAGTGACCATGAAAATACTTCCTGTAGTACTCTGCCAATTCAGATAAGACATAAATGCTAGGATAATAGGATCAAACTCATTTTCTATGGATGCTTAAATGACAAGTTTCATGGTGCAAATGCTAGGACATCTTAGACTAAGAAAGATTTCATCCACTGAATGAGAAGCATACCTTGATTTTCATCATGTGCAACGTTCTGTAGATATTTAACTGCAGCACTTAAAGATTCAAGCTATGGCCTGTTAAGAAAAATACAAAGTGCCATGAACAAGGTAAATTATAAAGGGTTTGTACATAAGAAAATTTTAAAAACAAGAGACTGAAACTAATTTATTGTTCTGATGGCATGTATCTATCCAACACATGTAGCAGTATGTGACTTGCCAAAAGATATACATGGACTTGGACTTGTGAAGTATGTATATGCACTAGTAGAGACTAGAAAGCACTAATGATTTCATGCATACAACCTGAGCTAAAAATATGTTTTCTTAGCTACTAAAACAGAGAAAATAAAACACTATAATACTCATTATTCACACAATCCTTACCATGAATTGCAAGGTAAAAATAGCATAAGAAAAGCATCTGCATTCTAACTAAATGTGACCAAGAAAGCATAGTGCATGATAATCCACTGATAGATTAATTCCATGTCAAACAACTCAGTACCAGACACAAACAAAGTTTTATGAATAGCAGGGACTCTAGTGTGGGAGTACCTGTCAATCTGTCATGCCACAACATTAGGTCTTCACAAAATGGCTAGAGGAAAATTAGTTGGTCCAGACATAATTGTCTTACAAGGCTGAAACAAGAAACAAATCATTTAGATGTAAAATAAATATTATACTCTAGGAGTAAGTAATCCAAGAAAATTAAATTTCTATTATAGAAACTAAATCACATAATGTAGACAATATGGGAACCAACTTGTCTTGCTTAATATCTGGGAATCAGAGCTCTGAGAAAAAATAATAATTGGCAACAACAGTAATGGATCAACTAATCCAATCTAGATTAGTTGATGAATGCAGCAACGCAGGTTTTGACACAAGAACCCAATCTAGATCTACTGACATTCCACTGACAATCATTAAACTTGTGGTCAAGGGCCAATAACCCAATCTAGATCTACTACTGGGCAGTCACGTAATACGGATCAAAGCCAAAATAATCCACAAGTGTAAACTAGTATGACTTACACTTTTTCATCCTGAAGGAGAATGGTTGGCTGCAACTTTGGAGCAGATTAAATTGAACTCCTAGAAATCTCCGCCGGCGGCTATCTGAACAAATCGGTGTTTGGGATTAGCAGCGGAAACACATGCTAGCATGGACAGAGGTGCTCCAAACCGTTTCCTCACCATTGAAACACATATTTTTGGATGCTTTTACTTACTGAAGAGGAGGGGAAGGAGGGGCAGCGCCCATTCTCCTGCCGGCGCTGCCGGAGCCGAGAACCGCGAGATCTGGAGCACCCACACTCGATACGGCTGGATCCGTGGTTCCCAGGGTTGGGGCATCCAGATCTAGAGGTTCTGAGCTTGGGCCTTGGGGTGGCTAGCACCGGCAGTGGAGGGGATGGTGGAAGCTCGTCGCCGGCAGGAGATGGTGGTGATGGTCGGCTGCATCTTGCCGATGGCGCTGGGCGGAGGCTCGGTAGCCGACCCGCCGTTCGTCGAAGGTATCGCACAGGCGCTCGCCATGCGGATCTGGAGAGAATAGAGGGGCGGCGACGGCTCGAGGGTTTGGGAAGAGGGGTGGGGAATTAGGTTTTGGGACTTGGCTGCCTGAGTTTTATTTGATGGTTCTTGAGGCCTACTTGTCAGCGCTATTTTTCTGTGGGTCTGTGTGAAAACCTACAAAAATAACACAATTTTTCTGTGGGTATAAGTAACCCCGTCAAGAAAATTAATATTCCTGTGAGTTGGCTGTGGAACCTACAGGAAATCTAGCGGCCCACAGGGTAGCTCTCAAGTCTGGTAGAAAGAAGGGCACCGGGGAGCAGCATGGAGGTGAAGGTGAGCAAAGTCAGGGATCCTCATCATCCCAGAAGCAGCAGAGCGTGAGTGAAACACAACGAGAGAGGGAGAAACACGGTATATAACTTCTAGCTTTCTTCTTCTTCTTCTTCTTCTTGATTCTTGATTTCTTGCATTATTGCCATAGCTTCAATTGCTTACTTGATTATTGCATGCATTAATTGCTGTAAAATTAATAAACTTTGCAGATCTGCCACCGATGTATCTGGACATAGACGACTTGATCATAACTCGGACTTCAGATGGCGAGGATTCGGACGAGCTGTGCTCCATCAAGTCGGACAGCCCCAGGGACGCTACGCCGCCCAGGAAGATACCTCCTGCAGGCCGACGTTCGTAGTTCGATCATTTTCTAGTGTGATCGATCCGTGCCACGCATGCACCTGTGTCCCATATAGGAGTAGTAGCGTAGTACTATGTAGCTGTACTAATTGTGTGTGTTCGTGTCATGTTCAATTTAGTGAGGTTGGAGAGAGCTAGCTAAGGTTCGTTTCTGTGTGTGTGTCGCAATTTAAATTTAGTTTGCTGTGTGTCTAGGTTTTGTGTGTGTCGTAATTTAAATTTAGTTGCATGTACGCGTGTATGTCGCTTAGCTGATCGGTCGGCTATGAGAGACTGGCTAATTGTATTGTCGTAATTTAAATTGAGTCTAATGATCGTGCGTACGTCGTGTTTAATTGTATTGTTGGGTAATACTCTCTCCGTCCCTAAATATTTAACGCCGTTGATTTTTTTTTAAATATGTTTGACCGTTCGTCTTATTAAAAACTATAGTAGTAGTATATTTAATAATGAATCAAATGATAGAAAAAGAATTAATAATTACTTAAATTTTTTAATAGGACGAATTATCAAACATGTTTAAAAAAATCAACGGCATCAAAAATATTTAGGGAAGGAGGGAGTAATATTCCGCCAATTCTATTTTTCTATCAATGAGATAGCACTCTTGTCATCTTCTCTTCCTACTAAATTAATTAATGAGGGGAGACTTTGTTTCTGTTTTTTCCTAGCTTTATCCGAGTCAATTTATTTTCAGCTACATATATTTACGAAGCATTCTTGGATTTCCGTCCATTTTTTACGATTCATCATCATCATTATCAGGTTATATAATACAGTGAGCTATACATGCATGATTTTTCATTTAAGGCGACAAGAACTGACTACTATCCCAACCAAGTATGTTCAGAGTTACTCTTGAGAGGCAAATCCCATACCAAGATTCAAGAAATCTGGAATTACAACAGCTGCTTCTATCTTGTAGATTTCTGGCCTAAGAAACGAAGAACACACATAATATGATATAAAAGAAGGTATGAATGCTCAAAGGTGTTGTAAAACATTTTTCTAAGATACAGGGGAGTAAAACTAGCTAGATACTGCCTTCTCCTTCCTTGCTGATGCCATATTCTTCAACAAGCTTGGTAACCAGTACTGTAAGATCGACGAACGCGCTGAACGATGCTCGCAGGAACCGAGCCTCTACAGCTTCAAAGTGCCTGAATTAGATTCAGAAAATTTTGTATCAGTACACATCGTGAATCAAAGTAAACACAATCGATAGCAATTGTTAAGAATGGATTTACTGACACGACGAGCTTGCCACCAGAAACAGACATCTCCCTCTTTACCTTGTCAGGTTGCAACTGCAAGATAAATACCACAGGATTCGAGTTCTTTTCTCAACAAGCTAGCATGAAGAAAAGAGGAAACATTGGGACTCCTTATGAAAACAAGAACCATGTTAAAGTGTACTATAACTTCTTACCTCCTTATCAACAGCTAGCGTTTTGTAAACTATGGATGCGCGTTCCTCGGATCCATAATCAATTTCAAAGTCACTGCCATACAAAAAGGTTGTTAGTGCAAGATAAATTTTCTCTACATATGAGCTACATAGTTGATGCAATACTATGCGTAAGTAGCAATGTCTGAGGAACAGGATGATTAAAGGTAGCAGATGATTCAGTATGCATAAAAGCAACATATATCAAGTTGATTACTACTAGCTCCAAGAGTTTTCTGCAAGGCTGGGTTTGTGAGACTATAGCCATGAAACAGCCATTCGCCACAAGTTTTTAAGCTATTTTTTTTTGGCATTGATCATTCGCTCATGAAAATACATCATTTAATAACACTATATGGTCAAACGATAAAATCACTATTCTGCTCTAATTTCCATAACCCAGCAAATTTGCTTGTGCGTCAGTGGGACATCATTGTAACTTCCTAACAGATGCTGCACACTTTCATTTCTTCTGTGTTGTCTGAACTCTAAACACTACGATAAATTATTACAGAATTTCTGGCTTCCAGTCTTAACTCTAAAGAAACTAAATGTCGCCAATGGAACTGGTTTATTTAATGATCCATCAGTTCGTGGCTTTACATTGAGAACAAAGCTTTGCGTACCCTCGCAAAATAATAGCTTTACCAATTACGACAGGATATTTACTCCATGAAAATAATCAGGTATTCCCACCGATTCAGTTCAAAATGCTTCGAAAATAGCAGTCATTGCCCTATACTATGTATCATAGTATCAATAGGTCTCAAATTTGCATGAATTTGGGGGTAAAAAAAAAGGTATAAGGAAGTATGCGCAACACATTGATAGGCAGGGAAACTGAAATGAAACCGCCGCCTAGCCAAAGAAAGCATAAACAGTAGCAAATGCTTCTTTTAGGCAATTCGTCGAACACCACGAGCGCAGGTGAAAGCAACACGGGGATAGCACAGCACCACAGCAGCATATGCACTCCGGTAGGAGAAATATCATCCGAAATTGCTCATCGAGAAGGCACGAATCGTTGAAAAAAAAATATGACCGCGCAAATCGTCACCATTCGGAAGGAGAGGGAGAGGGAGAGGGAGAGGGAGAGGGAGAGTCACCAGGTGAAGTCCCAGCCGGACGACGACGCTGGCGCTACGGAGGCGGCCATAGGAGGATCTCGCCTGCGCGATCTGGCCAAAGGCGTGCGGCGGCGGTCGTGGGCCTCGCCGGCGGCCGGCGCGCGTGGTGCGTCGTGGCTAGGGCCGGCGCGCGCGCGCTGCTTTTTGGGTGCTCAGCTTCTCAGCTCAACGCCACAGCCGCACGAGAGATGGAGAATTGGAGATGGATTGATGGTGACTTGATGGGCCACGTGAATTTTATGGGCTTTTCAGCCCATCCACGTTAAAAAGGGCACTACACTACTACTCCCTCCGTATTTTAATGTATGACACCGTTGACTTTTTAATCAATGTTTGACCACTCGTCTTATTCAAAATTTTTATACAAATATAAAAATACTTATGTCATGCTTAAAGAACATTTGATGATAAATCAAATCACAATAAAATAAATTATAATTACATAAATTTTTTGATTAAGATGAAAGTTCAACGTTTATCAAAAAGTCAACGACGTCATACATTAAAATACGGAGGGAGTATAAGACTTTCTAGCATTGTCCACATTTATATAAATGTTAATGACTCTATATACGTGTGTCTAGATTCATTAACGTATATATATATATGAATGTGGTCAATAAAAGTCTTATAATATGAAACCAATGAAAGTCTTATAACATAAAACTGAGAAAGTGCTACTATAGTACTATATGCATTTCATATGCAGTTTGTAATATATGCATGTGCTTCGGCAACACAGAGTCGTCAGAGCCAAAATAAGCAGCTCCATAATCTAATTTGCACCGAAAATATACTGCATATAAATATCCAAAATGCAAGTATATTTATGTGAAAACTGGATAAGGAATTGCGGTGACAACCAAGGGGCAGAGGTTCTCCAAACTTTTTTTTTACTTCGTTTCCGTTCATGCTCATTGTCACAACTGAATACAAAACTCAATCAGTCAGTCTCAAACAACACCAATTACAATATTTTAGGTGACCCGGATGAGCAGAACCACCATAATGAACATGCAGGTCATCATGAAGATGAGCAGCCACTGGAAGCATGTCGTCTTGGAAGCCAGCGAGTATACCTCTGCCGCTCGCGTGGTTGCACGCCCAGTGCTCGCCAAGCTATGCTCGACAGCTCTCTCGGTGGAATCAAGGATCTACCCAAACAGTTGCCAATGTCAACATACCATAGCTGCAGGAAAAAGAGGTGAAGGAAAGAAGCATACTACCTTCTCTGTTTCTTGAACAGATTGGTGCATGGTGAGACTGCTCTCTTTCAGTTGGCGCGCTAACTCAACCATTTCGTCAGTCAGATCTTCTTGCAGCTTCCTGCGCGATTAGAAGATGAGTTTAGAAAATAACAAGGGAATTTGCCGCTAAGAATAACGCAGAAGCTAAACCAGAGACCAGGAAAGAAAAGAACTTTGCCGATACAGAAGAGTTTAATGTACCTATGCTTCTCAATATGAGCCTGTGCTTCTTCATCCAATTTAATAGGTGCTCCAATGTCTCTGTCTTTTCTCTCATGACTGCTAGGTCCAACAACGTTGTGAGCTCTATTCAATTTACATCCATTATTAGCTCGCTAATTGTAATAATTATGAAAAAGAAACATACAAATTTTAAAACTTACATTGGTCTCCTACGTAATCCTGATGATAATGATATTGGACTTCCTGGCTTATCTCCTTCATAAGAGCTTTCTACCTCTCTATTCTCATCAACTGGCATTTCATTTTCTGGCTGAACAAAAGAAAAATCAAACAAAAGTATAATCCATCTGAGTTATTGTGGCTGCATATGTTCTGAAAAGTAAGTTGATTTTGTTTGAAGAAAAAACTAAGTAAACCATATGCTGCAGTTGGTGGTTTTGCATTCAATTGAACTATTCCCCACACCCAAAAAAAGAACTGAAGTATCAATTGAGGAATTTAAGATATTAGCACGACAACAGCATACCTCTGGAGCAGCAAGCCGGGCAGCCAATGCTTCAATCTTTTCTGAATACTCACTTGTCTTAGCTTTTGATACACTGGACAAAGAAGAAATTCATGAATGAACATCGTTTGATCATGGGGAAAAATATTATATTACACAAGTAACACAAAAAAAAAAAGAAAACTCAATGTAGGTAAATGCTTGCTCTGCTCCACTGGGTAACAGGACAATTAAACAAGGTATAAGATTGCTAATGGAAAAGGTAGCAAAAATCCAGGAATCTACATAATAAACTGAGGTTCATCAAAATGAAGGAAGGTGACTAAAATTTACGTTGTAAACATTCATATAACTGTTCTTTTCTCACGCACAGAAAAGCATATCTTTAAAGGAGTATTGAGATTTTCAAGAACAACTGCTACCAAATGAAAACAGAGCTACAAAATATGCAATGCTCTCCCACAGAGTATTTATCATGTGGGAAAGCATGGTGCATACTAAAGAATTATACTAGTAGAAGAAGATCAATTATTGACTAGGAACTAACTTAAGATACGTGTAGCTAAGTAGTTAGTGCATCAAATTTTTGCGCTCATTGAATAGTATTACAGTAGATTATGCCTGATTCATTCATGTACAGAGGTTGAAAGTATGAACACACCATCCACCAAAGCAAACTAGCAGCATCATGTAAACAAAATTAGCATCCAGTAGTCTTTTAACAAAAAAAACAATTCACTGAATTGGTCATATTAGTGTCATGAAATACAGTGTAGGATCTAGAGATCAGATTCACCTATAACAGTTTTATATTGGATCAGAGATTTGGTGGTTTTTGCCTTGTCATATACTAACTGGAGTGCTTTTTAAGTATGGATGCTCAACAGATTATAGCTGGGTCACAGACTGAAGATTATACTACAGCCAACATGTCGATATTCCCAAAGATATGTGTAGTGCTATAGAGAACAAATAAAACATGAATGAATACCTTGATATCCCTTCTGGAGTAGTTTCTGATCCTAGCTGCTCCAACAGTTCCCTGGCTGTGGTTACATACTGCAGTTGATTGGAGAATCTCAGTGCAACCACAGATTCCATTCAAAATGATAGAGAAGAAGATTAAAAAGAACATGCATTAGCTACTAGTAAGTGCTAAAATTGAAACACATGAGGTAATCCAGAAATATTCCCTTCTTACTTTCAACACACACACAAAAATACTCACTTGAGGGATTCTTTGTTCTCCTAACTAAAGGTATATAATTAGCCTATTAACATAAACAAAGTATGATGGAAAAATTCGTATCTAAGAAAAAACCGTACGAGGTACACTTACATGGACAAGCTTAGTCTGGTTCTGCTGTCGAGGAGCTGCCTCAAGCAGCCTTATCAAGTTCACTTCAACCTTGCTAAGCACCATGATTAATATGACAAAAACCTACACAAGCAGTAAAAAAAAAGAGACACACCATTATGCAACATCCCAGCAAACACAACATCAGACCATACAAGATTATTCACTTCTACCACTAACATTGCTATCAAACTACTCTTGTACAGCATAATCATCCCCCCCCCCCAAATCCCATCACTCTCTGGAGTCTGGGGAGGGAGACGCTTTACGAGACCAATCAGTTTCCGAAATTTCTAACCCCCAACGCTTTAGATGAACATCTGCTTGTCTAATTTGCTGCGAATAGGAGGGCTCCGACGAGGAATTACCTTGCGGCTCGATGCCGCGGGCAGCGCATCAACGCGGGGGCGGAGCAGTCAGAAGCGGCGCCGTGCGACCATGGATGGGGGCAGATCCCGACGAGCCCCGCCGCGGACACCGCCTGATCTTGCTCCCGGCGGCGAAGGGGATCAGTCTGGCCGCAAGTCCGGCGAACGGCTGAAGAGGGAGGGTCGCCGCCGGTCGCGTCGGCGGTCGGACGCGGTGGTGGAACGCTCTTCTGCAAAGGAGTAGGATTAGACTTATGTGCGGCCCATGCTACTCATTGGGCCGGAACGGATTCTGATCTCGATTTCGTGTGGCCCAAACACGGGGAGAGTCACAGTCGAGAGGGAGACGGTGTGCGTTCTTCGAGTTCGAGGAAGAACAAAAAAAAAGAGTAATTATTATATTGAGCATCGTGATTTGAGCTTGTTAATTATGCTTTTTAATTAATTAATTACCACACTTTCTTCTGGTATCAATTCGTCACCATTTATTTACCCCTGTTCCAGCAAAGGTGAGAAAACGAGGCCAACTGAACAACATGTTCAGAGTTCAGACTTCAGGCAGTTGAGCTTTCAGGAGAATAGCATATGCCTCTCCAGCATCATCTGACAGCTCGAGGTTTTTCATCTATCTGATTCATGTAAGTTCTTCGCACAAAATGGTGCAAATCGCTATCACAATCCACCATTAGAGCACAAAATTCAGCACGCATGAAAAATCTGCATCATTGCAGATTTGCAGTAGGGGGTCCAACCTTCCAAATTAATAAAAGACAGCATTACCAGGTGAATTAACAAGCAGATTATCGTGGAGTGATTTGACAAAGATAGAGTAGAATACGCAATTCCGCGGTAATAATAGCTGGTTTGGGCGATAAAAAAAATTTCACCGTTGAGCGGATGATGGAAGGTGAAGTAGACTAGCACGCTAAACGACGAAATGAATTGTATTTTATGATTTTATCTAATCTAAACAATGTCTTGTTCGAACAATCTTTTACTCTACCTCCCAAATTAACCCTTACTTTACTATTGTTTGTTAGTATCATTTTGCACCACAAAAATCAAGACAAGTGGTGCTCATTGTCGGTCAAGGTGTCATTAGAGCACCATTAATCAAGACAAGAATTCTAAACTAATCTCATAGGATTAAGACATGCATTGATCCAGGTGTTAAACCCTTGGGCAGATTTAGGATGTCGATGTGCCGTTCTCTGAATCCTTCAGACAGATCTCGATGCAAGCTGACAGAAATGAAAAGGCAGATTCTGAAGAAGGAAATTCATTAGAGTAAACTAGTCATGGTTGGAGAGTTTCACTTAAACTTGCTGACCGATGCAAAGCTCCAAGTCAACTTGCAACCAATAAAGTGACATTTTTCTTATGATCTTATACTAACATGTGTATTATTGCCCTGATGACATTGGATATTAAGTGGGTTGACAATGAGATGGTGGAATCCTGTCCAACCTCTGGTTTCGCATTAGCCATTTTAGCTTCACACTAAACAAATTTTCAGTTTTGTCAATTCCATCCTAAACTTTGAACCGGTACCACGGTCAAGTACACAAAGGTCTTCAACGTGATGTGAAATTACTAACTTACCCTTGCAATATAATCTGGTTTTCACAAAACATGGTGCCATCTTGCCAACACAACCCTTGTCAAGAACAGGTCCCTTGTGCAATATGAGGACAAGATGGTAAAAATTAACCTAACCATGGATTAAATATCTAATGATGGGTAGGATTAGGAAAGACCCACAGGATCTCATCATCTACACCAAATATACAATCTTACTCCTAATTGTCACACACACCAAATAATTAAAATAAAATGAAGGCCCCACACAGTACAGTCTATATATGGTGCAGGGGTGCAAGTGCAACACTCTTTCTTCAGGCCAGGTCTTAGCTGACCCCCTCCCAAAACTTTGATCACTAACCATCTTATCTCAGTTTGATCTGATGTCACTTAAGGACAAGGCCATAGCAATTAGCAACACTTGATCAGCTAATTAATACAACCCAACCTTCACTAAGTTGTAAATTAGATAGGATAGTTGTGTTCAGATAAGCTTTGGTTAATTTGCTGTTGTGTTGATGAAGGAGAGAGGTGTGAGGAACAAGCAGGGAGTGATCATGAAGGCCCTGCTGGACAGGTGTTTGTCCAAGCACAGGAATGGTGGCCGGCCGGAGCCGCCGGAGGGGAGCTTCGCGGTGTACGTCGGCGGCGGCGGCGGCGGCGGAGGGGCGGCGAGGGAGAGGTTCGTGGTGAGGACGGAGTGCGTGAACCACCCGCTGTTCAGGGCGCTGCTGGAGGAGGCCGAGGAGGAGTACGGGTACGTGGCGGACGGCCCGCTCGAGCTCCCCTGCGACGCCGGCGAGTTCGTCGCCGTCCTGGCGAGGATCGAGCGTGAGATGGCCGAGGAGAGGACGGTCGGGTGCGCCGGCGGCCTGGTGTTCAGGCTGCACCCGGCGGCGCACCTCATGCTGGTTGCTCCGGCGACGCCGCCGCCGATGATCGTTGGCTGAGCGTCCGGTGCGGCAAGGCCGGTCGCCGGCGGTGATCGCCGGCTGATGGGCTAGCTGTTGGCATGTTCTTGTCCAAGTTTTTCTCTGTGCACAGAATGTGTTGCCGGCGACGCATGCATACATGATCATCTTAATCTTCGTGCAGCTGTGATAATCTGGGGTTCTCTGATGTTTAACGTGTACTATGAGTCTGTGACATATGTACAACTGTACAGTGATCAAACTTCACAAGTCACAGTTCTTTGGAGTACCAGTTGGTTGAGCCCAGTTAGTTATTTCTTGCTCATAGAACAGCATAAAAATTTCAGTAAAATAGAAACCAGTGGAAGAAAGCACTGATGAGAATTGATTCGATAATATTGAATAATGGAAGAAGTTAGAATTCAAAAACACGAAATAGTGAACACCAGCAAATAAACACAAGGCCACGAGATGGAAAAATTACTGTGTAGTAATATTGAATAGTGGAAGAAATTCTACAATTCGCCTGACCAATCAATACCAAGCAGTGGGAGAAAAGGAAGATCATACAGTCAACTATAACAGGTATATCTCGCACCAATATTAACACCCACAGGTCACACCTCAACTCTCGAACCGATGCTTAACGAACGAATCCCAGATTGGATGTAGAGAAAGAACAACCATAACCATGTACAGCAAAAGGTGAATCGGATGGAAAAACCACAACCTCATTGCATCTACTACCTCCTGATGCTAGCAACCAACAGTGACGCCTTCTTTCGGAGGGGTAGAGGTGACACCCACAGCCACACCCTCTTTCGTCGTAGAGGTGACACGAAGGATTGCCTGTGCACTTAATGGGGAAAGCTTTGATTGGCAGAAAGCTTCCCATGATTCAGCACCAGCATCAGCATCAGCATCAGGTGAGGTAGCAGGTGCGTCGTCAACTTCACCAGAACTCGAAGCTTGGGATTTCTCATAGAATGCTTGTAGCTCCAAAGCCAGCTTGCGAGCAGCCTCCCTGGATTCAGGAAGCTGGTCACTAAGCTGAGTTGCTGCGATCTGAACAAGCTTATCCATTCCATATTCTTTAATTCCCTCCACACCCTGGAAACAAAATAGGTCAATTTAAGTAAAACATCTAAAACTGATGTTATCAGCATTGGTTAGAGCATGGAACCATTGATATACAAACTACATAAAAGCCAATTAAGAAAAAAAAATTCCAGATACCGTCACACTACTAATAATGGCCAGGCAATTTAGGGTAGATGAAGTTCCTCGAAGTAAAAGGCCACAGGTAAAAATCATTTGTCAGCTAATTATTCTCGGCATATAGAATCTCTACCAAACACACTAGCCCATAGTTTTGGAAAAGCTACAGGTCTGTCTTATAATACAGAAACCTCATCCCGCATCTGCATATCTAAATAGACTAAAAAAGGTCGAGAAAACTGCGTGTTAACTCTAAGCCAACCAACAAGACCACGAATTAAGATATTCATTGAGTACTTGTAATGTGAGAAAAGAGAGCTAAATCCTATGTTGAGTTTGTCTTTGGCCTCTCCTAGGTTAATTAGGAGATAATCAGATAACAGTTGAGGCAAAACAAAAGCGGTTAGCTTAAAATAAATTTCAGGTGAGATTTTCACTTACCAAGCGTGGGACGCTCTTGCTGAAGCACATTGATGCTTTTGCTCGAATTCGTGGATTCCTGTTCTTAAGGTAAGGTTGCATTTTTGGTAACAGAGCAGAAGGGGCGATCCAGCTTGTCATCGATATGAGGGCTGCCTCAGCAGCTTCACAGACAAAACGCTTATCTTGTGAAGATTTCAGAAATAGCTGCACTAACTGAGAACAAATTTGGCAGAAAAGATGTTTTGAGAAATAGCGTAGTTAGTACAGGAAAAAGAACTAGTGTAATTGTGAATGGAAGTTTGAGAACTGAGAAACACACACCAGTGGATCAATTGAGTCAACCATTAGGTCACCGTATGCCTTGAAAATATCAGCGCAGGTCATGAGTGCGGTTTTACAGACAGCACTCCTTGGATTCTTGACAGATTTCACAATAAGAGGAACTAGAGGCTCTCTGTAATTCAAATCCAAAAATTAAGATTAGAACAGGTCATGAGTGCAGCTTTACAGGCAGCGCTCCTTGGATTCTTGAGTGTTTTGAGATACAAGCAATCGAAGAGAATAAAACTGGGTCCAATAAAAAAAACAGAATGAATTTCTTCAGACAGATTTCATGATAAGAGGAACTAGAGGTTCCCTATAATTCAAATCCAAAAATTAAGATACAGAGAATGATGTAATTCTATAGCTTCAGGCATGGATAAGTAACATTTGCCCAAAAACAAAGATCCTTTTGATTGAATAACAAGGTAAGCAACTTACAGAAGTTCCTGCAATCTATCCTTGTGAAATATTGCCAACTGACGAACATTATTTAGAGCTTCACATGTCATAACCCAGTCTTTTGAATCCAACCTTGCAACTAAAGTCTATCAAGCAGTAAGAAATGATCAAATGTTAGGGCTGGTCCAATCAGAAAAATGCCAAGCACAAAAAAGATCATGAATATAAACATCTGGTGGCATACACTAAGGGTTGCACCAGCATCTTCAAGATCTGTCAGACTCTCAGAATCAATATACTCAACATCTGCATTTCCAGCTTCACACCCATTAGTCACAGCATCAGGGAGTACAGGTGGAGCATTTTCTTCCGTATTGTTGCATTTGTTGCCATTCAAGACAGGCTTGGTGATGCAAGACTTGGCAGAACTGTCCTTGGTTTTCTCCAGCTCTGCTGACTGAGCTAGATTCAGATCTTTCAACGCACTGTCCGACATATTCACACCTGTGCAGAGAAATTGTAGAAAAATAAGGCCATGTACAACTCAGACCTCTCCTAAAGTTTCATATGCAGCTAGTGAATCATATCTGACAAGTAATTGGAGCATTTTCAATTAAAATATGGTACAGCTGTAGCCTACAAATCCATATAGGAACAATATAACAACAGCAATGTAAATACAATAAGCAACAACAGCTATTCTAATTTCTAAAGTCCAGCAATTAGTCAGCCCTCAGATGCTCATAGGAAACTATAGGTGACCAAATCAACCACAATGTGGTTGTTATTGAGCTCTCGTTAATCCAAATTCCACCAGGTATATATATAACTCTGCAATCCTTCCACCACTGTGTACCACAATAATTAAACCGCCACTAATATCCATACTCCAAAGCAAACAAAGCGAATGATTGCTCATTTGTACTGAGGAATCATGTAATAGTAAGGGGAAACAAAAAGGCAAAATCATCATCATGGAGAAGTACCACTGCATTAGCGCATAATTCACAACGAACTGGATCAGCAACTCAGCTACAGTCAACTCAACAACCCGAAACAACAAGCAGCAACCAGCAAGTCGTCCGGAACGCCGTATTCTACCGACACCCTCATCCGAATCAGTACCTCCTCAATTCCGTCCACGACCTAGGAAAACAAACCTAGGAAGCACCGAGCGGGGGCTAGATCTCCCCTCCAAATCCGCCGCCACGACCACCGCTAATTCACAACTACCCCCACACCGCCGCACGCTGTCCACACACACACACACACTACACCGACGGCGCCATTTCAGCTGTACTCCATCCCTAAGTCCGGCAGCGAGATCTCATCCCATCCAACCCCCATAAATCCCGAGAAGAAAAAACAAAAAAAAAAAAAAAACAAAATCCCCCAGAAAATCCCGCCGCGAGAGATGGGGGGAAGAGATCACATCACATCACATCACATCACACGCGAAGCGAGAGCAGGGCCCGGGCGGCCAGCGAGCCAGATGCGATCTGCGAATGCTGCGCGCGGGGAGGGGAGGGGGCGGGGAAGGGGATGGGGGGGATCGCCTGATGCCGGGGAGCGAGGCGGGGCCGGGCCGCCGGAGGTGGGGGGAGTTCGCCGGCAAGCGCGGGGGCGGGGAGGCAGTTCGCTGGCTGGCTGAGACGCGACGCGGCGTTGGCTTGGCTTGGGCTTTTGGTTGGCCGCTCCCTCTCTCTCTCCGCTGCTACTGGAATACTGATGCTGTCATTGGGTTGGGGGAGAGAGCGAGTGGGGGCGTCGAGTTATACTGTGGTGGCGTCGCGTTGGTGTCCTGCTGCTGCTGCTGGCTGTCGTGTTTTGGACTTGGTCTGCCAAATTTGCATCCAGCTCCTGAAGAATGTTGGTATTAGCTTAGGCCAGTGTTTGGCTAATAGGATATGGAAATGATTTCCCACCTACTAAAAACATATTTAAATCCTAACCATTTATTCTCTCTCTTTCATTTAATCCTAACTCTTCATTCAATTTTCAATCCCAATCTCACTCCCTATTTCCTATTATCCAAACACACCCTACAGAGATACTCACTCTATTTTAGATTATATGTCATTTTGACTTTGATTAAAGTAAAATTGTTTCAAATTTGATTAAATTTAGAAAAGTAGTCACATATTCAACGCAATACAAATATACTATAATAATATATTCAATTATAAGCTTAATGAAACTAATTTAGTGTTGTAGATATTAGTATATTTATGTATAAACTTGATTAAACTTAGAGTAGATTAATTTTGATCAAAGTCAAAATAGCTTATAATCTAAAACGGATGTAGTAGCTTGCAACATTGCTGCTAACCCATTTCTCCCGAAAAAAAACGATGTATCTTATTTGCGCATGATTAAGTAATTATTAACTAAAATAAAAAATAATATAATTTTAAAGTAGCATTCCTGTGGAACATTTTTAAAAGAAAATTACACCGTTTAGCAATTCGGGAAACACGTGGAAAATGAGAGTATAAATTGAAAAAAGGATTGCTAAGCTCTAATCATTTGAACTATCATTGATAAGGCGACAAAAAAACAAATGAACTAACAAAAAAATCTTATGGATAAACATTTATATTCATGTTATTGGAGGTTTTGAAGCTTAAACTGTAAAAATGATATTAAAAATTTGGGATTTTCTCGATGATTTCACAGTTTAGCAAAAAAAAGAAGAAGAAGAAGCAGAAGATACGCAATCTGTGGGGTGAGAACGAGATAACGGTCCTAATATGGGTTCTTTTTTATATAAAAAGAAAATCTTACTAACGAGAATGCAAAATGCAGCTGATTTCCTGCTTATAATTCCATATGTAACTAACCAGCACATGTCCTCCGCTGAGCAAAATGAAGTTTCCAAAGGGCTTTGTACGACAAACAACCCATAGGATTCCATAATAATTCGGCAATAATTAAGGAATTCCGATCCATCTGATTGGCGTTTGCGGGGGTGGGGGGGCCTCAATTTTAAAATTGAAAAATCAAGGAGGAAGTGATTAATGTGCAGCGGCAGTTGCGGATTTTGTGGTACAAGTCCACCGGGAGAACGACCCAAGGTCGCAACCATTAGAACGTTGCAGAAGTGAGCACTCGGTTTTTTGCGTGCAATTAATTCCGTATAAAAACAAATAGAACACCCAACACTTACAGACAAAAGAAGAGCAAGAGAAAACACAACTAATAAGTCGACATAGTTTGTCTATTCTCCATTTGAAGGCCTGGTGACAGGCCAAGGCCCATTCCCAGCCTTATATGTTCTGAAAATGGAGATCATCATTTCCAGCCCTAACTAACTTGTATCCATTGCAGCCCAAACAACTTAAGCAACAGCATCCTAATCCTTTCCTAGGTCATTTAGATTAGAGCACCAAAGCACTCTAGGGCGTTTGCAGGTGGGCCATAGCATTTGAAGGGCAAACTGCTTGTCTAGCAACCAATCAGAATTTCATCTAAGAAAAGCAACCAATCTGCGTATCGCCTTTAAAAACAACCAATCAGCACAACATTTTTACTAGCAAGCAATACAGCTGCCACCTGATTGAGAAAACTTGACATACAAAAACTATGCACCATGATTATCCTTCACATTTGTGGAAGTTAATCAATATATACTAGCAAAATACGGGCTCTAGTGATTCATTACCATCGGGGAACTATGAAATATAATTCTTCTCAACAGGAGTGGCTCCTCTAAATCGTCCACGAGAACAAGAGTACCACAGTACTGAACTCATCCAAAACCGCTGGTTCCGTTCATTCTAGGATAAATCGAAGCTCCTAAATGAGAAGATAGGTGACAGTTGTTGTACAGAGAACAAACGTTCAACTATTTTACTCCACCTAAGTAGGGAGAACACGAACTAGGTTTAGTTCACCCAAGTACGGAGAACACGCACGAGCGAATGGATTAAATCCATGAGCTCGCAGGGGGAGGGGGAGAGGGAGAGGTGAGCGGCTTATTACCTTCAGCCAGTGGCGTCAACGGCAGTCGGCGGGGCGAGACCGACAATGGATTCCGGGGCGTCCAGGCCGGGCGTGAGGCGACTGGCGGAGAAGACGGGATGGTGACTGCGGGAGCGGGATAACCTGGGGCGACCGGCGGCGGCGGAGATCCGGGTGTCGGCGGCGAGAGGCGATCTCCGGCACGGCGGCGCCCGACGAACCCTAGCCGCCCTAGTCGCCGCCCGTGGGGAGGAATTACTCGCGTCGGAACGAAATGGTGTACGGCCGGGAGAAGGATTGGGGTGGCAGGAATTTTTACACTTTACCCCTTTTACTAAACTTATTCTATATCTTAGACCTTGACAAAACTATGGGCCGTTTTGGTTTGATGCCAAAAACATACCCTACCAATTTATTGGCAAATTGAATAGTTTGTGTGTTAGTTTGGATTGAGACTAAATATTTGGTAGTGCCCCTAAAATATTTGGTCATATTCTAGAAGTTTCTTCACTATGCTATAAAAATTTGGCTTTAAATTGGTAGCAATCCAAATGTTAGCTAAATAATTTTACCCTACCAATATTTTGGTAGTGCCAAAATTTTTCTAGACTTTGGCACTACCAATGAATTGGTAGGGTAAAGAACCAAACAAGCCCTATAACCACAAGCATATGCCTATGGGCCAATTACCTACATGCCCCTGTAATTTCACCCAATCCCTTCTACGCCCCATAAATTTGTTTAATCTCTTATATACCCCTAAGTTTTTATTTGCATCCCTTAAATACCCATTCCGTTAGTTGACCATTAGTTTGACCGTTAGTTATTGAAGAAATTACTTTATTGTCCTTGGTATATTGTTAAAAGCTAGAAATGTTTTATGTGTAAATTATTTGAGTTGTGAAAACCAATAAGGAATAAGTTACTAAATATTTGTTATGAATTTTTAAAAACAAAACATTATTTCATGAAAATAAAAAAGATTTATTGTAAAAAAAGTTCTGCATAAAATTTGAAAATTACTTTTCAACAAATATTTAGTAAAAAAAGATTCGTTGTAAAAAAACAAAGGGGATGTAATTAGTTTATCACAAATTAGAAAACAAATTTAAAATTTTTAAATAAATTTCAGATCAAATTTGATGAATTTCGTATATCTTCCCAAAAATTTAAACCTAAATAACATTTAGTTTTTGCTCTTAATTTTCTGGTGAAACTAATGTATGGATTTAATCATTTTTTAAAAAATAATAAAAAATAATAAGTTTTATTTTTTAAGTTGGGCATCAAATGATTATATTGCTTGTATTTTGTATAAGTTAATTTTTTCATATGAAAATTTATTGGGTAGGTACCACATATGTATAGGATGGGTAATATAGTCATTTTAAAATATTTAACGGTCAACTAATGGTTAACTAACGGAGATGGGTATAGAGAAGATCAAAATGAAAACTCAGGGGTATATAAGGGATGAGGTCAAATTCAGGGGTATTAAAGGGATTGAGTAAATTTTTAAGGGTATATAGGAATTTTCTCTATGCCTATCTATCTATTTATCTATCTTTCATTCATCACTCAATGCAATGGTTCAAATTGTCCATATTAAATCCAATGCTTGAGATTCATCCCACCTCCAACCTCTTCCTACCCCGCAGGTTCCCCTTCCCCTCCCGAGTCCGACTCCATAATCGCCGCCACCAATCTCCAACCCGCCCATGCCCGCGATTCGCCGACCATCGTGCCACCGCGCCCCCCACCCGCAGCGCCACATCCTCTCTTCCCTCGCTAACGGCTCTTCCACCGCGCCGTCGCCGGCTTCAAGTCATTATCGTCGAGTGAACCCGGCTGGATTGCCTCCACTCCCGCACCCCGCTCAATTGCCGGCCACCGGTTGATCTGCCGTCGATGCTAAACCTGCACTTGAATCTGCTGGTCCTCGCGCCGACCTCCGCCGTCCGCCTTTCACCACTTGGACGGCCGGCAAGGAGCGGTTCAATCAACGCCGCGTCTTCTTTGCCAACCACCTCGCCTCATCTCGCCATGCGTACGTCGCTCCGTCCTTGCAGCACAGAGTGGCGGTTACGCCCCTGGTGGCCCTACTTCCGCCACCAGCTCTTGATCGTAATGTTAATTCAACCCTAAATTGATGCAAAACTGTACGTGCTATTATTCATGTTTCAGATAATTACTTACCTCGACCTACTTCAAGCAATCTCAACACCACAATTCTCTGCAGGGGCAGGTAAATGTGAAACAAAATTCGCCAGGTTTTCAGAGGTGTACTTAATTACACAGTGATAATACAACTGATAGTGCTAATACAACTGGTTAATTTTCTTTTGTACGGCTAACATAAATTCTAGAGAAACCGTGTAAATCGAGCAGCTAACACATCTTGGCGTGTCTCTCATTTGATAATCTGGTTCAATCTTAGGGATTGAACTTAGCCGCTTCTTAGAGGAAAGAAGCAAATTTCAGAAATCACAAAAACTGAGGATGAGGTTGGTTGCTTTATAGAGTGCTCTTTTATATATTAGCTGAAACAGGGACATACTTAATTAGGAAATGTGAGCAGAACACTTTGGTCGAACTGACATTTGGTTGCAGCTTGTTGAGTGTATAAAAACAAGCTCTACATAATCAGAAGATGTGATAACTGATTTATCCGCATGAATATGAATCAGATGCTGCCATGTCTCCAACATGAAACCAGATATTTTCCTTTGTACCTTGATTTCTAAAAGAACGAACATTTTTGTGATCATAGCAACTGTTTAATAACTTATTGTGTTGATTGGAATGCTTCAATACCACATTCTTTCCTTAGGGTCAATAACATGTTCTTTCAAACGGAAGTTTCTAACAGGTTTCGTTTTATCACTTACAATGAGAAGATATTGCGAGAACATTAAGCTTGAGCAAATGATTTGTTGACCTTCCCTATCCAAAAGAAGATTTGTTGATCTTCCAAATACAAAAACACTTACAAAATTAAGAGTGTTTCTGCCATAACTTCGTCCGTCGTTGCCTTCTGTGTGTCGCTGAGTCATGTAGGTAGTATTGCACTGCTTAATGATTTTCATGAATATAATCAGTGTATTTGTCAACCCAGAGAAAACCCAGCGTATTATGGTGAGATCATGAGTTTAACTGTAGAATGATCTTAGCTTGGAACTTGTAAGAAAATCATTCACTGTGGTCTGCATATCTAAAATCAGGGGCAGCTATGCTCAATTACAGAACTTTGTGGTTGATATATTTGGGCACTAAGAAACTCGTGTTTATGTAGTCCATTTCATCCTCCTAAGAGGGACATTTGTTTTGCAGTGCTACTTCATCTGTCTTTGCAGCTCCTTAACTTAGGGATTTCAATGTATTTCCATCTACTGCTTATATATACCAACTGTTGTAGATGTATGAGGTCTCAATGCTGGACTCCGTGCGTACCTGAGCCGGCACAACCACTTGCTTGGTTGTTTCTCTCTATGCCCCATGGTAGATGGGGTATCATCAATCAATAACCAGCCTAACCGTACCCTTTTTCTCATGTTTTTTATTTTTTAGCTATCCCGTAAATTTACACGTCGCCCATTTGCTGTAGTTGGCTCCTCGCGCGCGCACGAGTGACCGCTTGTAGGCGGTAACCGGCCAAACGCAATTTTAGGCGCTATGGGTCTGCACCGTGGGTTGGAGCCGGTTTCATTAAAAGGCTATTTTGCAAAAAAAAAAAAACTCCTCGTATTTGCACAAAATATCGCATATGTCCTCAAACTGGACAACACCCTGTTGTGTTTGTTCTGAAAAAGCCCTCCTATTTCACAGAAATACAATGCGAAGAAAAGAAAATTCCGCTTCTAGAGGTAGCGCTATAAAGATAAAAAATAAAGGGGTTTTTCCGAAAAACAGCACGTGCAGAGCTAGCTCTAAGATTATCTTTGATTTTTCTTCTCCTATCTTTTTCTCTCATTTATACATTTAATGTATTTGTCTTGGAGCACGTGCAAAGCTAGCTCTTGCATGAGAGCCAACACCTTTTTTTCTCTCTCCTCCACATAAGCATATCTCACTATTATCCTTGCTCTAATCGGGTTCCACTATTTATTGGGTCGTTCGAGGTTGACACACAGCGACCCAAGCCAGCCGCCCGGCACGCAACATCATCCCATTCATGCTCACAATAGAACAGCGTGTAACTGTGCCTCAGTCTTCGCCTCACCATCATAGGTCTAGACAGGACCTTTAGGTGGGCACTCCACGTACTTGTGCACCGTATTTGTAACCTTTCAGAAGTCCCTCCTCGCAGCCGATCCAAGTTGCTAATATGTTCCAGATACTTGTGTATCTGCCTTTCGTGTGGAGATGGAAGTAAGTTTCGAAGGTATATTTGCAGAGAGGGCAATAGTAGTTTATGTGTCCTCCGTCCAAATTCTATATTACTCCCTCCATCCCTAAATGTTTAACGCCGTTGACTTTTTTAAACATATTTGACCGTTCGTCTTATTCAAAAAATTTAAGTAATTATTAATTCTTTTTCTATCATTTGATTCACTGTTAAATATACTTTATGTATACATATAGTTTTACATATTTCATAAAAGTTTTTGAATAAGACGAACGGTCAAGCATGTTTAAAAAAGTCAACGGCGTCAAACATTTAGGGAAGGAGGGAGTAGATAACTAGCCACTCGAATGCTTTGCATTTGCGTATCCCCATGACTTTCAAAAAAGAAGGTCGTAGTCTATGCTGATGGAGCTAATTTGCAATTTTTATGTCATGTACTCCTTATTGGCATTTTTGTATATTTCATAGAGATATATAGGGTACATGCGCACGTTTGTATATATGAGTGTCTCCGTCTGTAATGTATTTCGCGAAAAAAAATGTTGGATTATTCACCAAGGGAGAGAAAAGGGTGGTGGTGGTGGGGTAGGTAGACAAGCAGAGTTCATAGTGGACCAAACGGAAACTATATTTATATGGGCAAACTAGCCCAACCATACTTTATCTAGGCTAACACGATTCACTCTCCTGTAATTTCGTTGACGTCCAAAATGAAGATCATATATAAAACCATCTGTGCAATCTAATTAACTGGATTTTTAAGAAAAAATAAAGAAATAAACAATTAATCTATATCTACTGGAAATGAAATGCAACAAGCCGCTCCATCCAGCAATATAATCGTCAGTACGGATATGCGGAGTACTGACCATGAGGTCCAAAAGGATCGCTCGTAGTACGTCTTATCCCAACAAGGACCGCTTCATATCGCGCGTCTTCGTCGTGTGGTTGACATCACCTTAGGCTGTGT